TTTGCAAACTCCAAATGATAATTCACTTGTCTTATAGTTTCATACATGCACATGTATGACAATGATTTGACTGTTATTATTATGAAAAACCCAGATTTTACTCAACAACTGAATTCATCTCTCAAAACTGAAARTAGTCCAAGTATTCAACAGAAGCCTTGAACCTCATATGTGAATGTTTGGAGTTGTGCCATTTTGAACATTTGTAACATAACCAAATTACATGTAATGCAAAGACAAGAACTAACCTTAGCACTTTAACAATAAAATCAAAATCCAGTTGATTGACAAGCTGTTTATTGTGTTGGATGATTAGCAAATAGGATAACACTGCTTGGGATAGCACAAACAACCAGTGGTCTGGTCCATCATCCGGTACAATGGTGATGCTATCTGTGATGAAATCTTTCAATGCTGTGGAGCACTTTGATGCATTTATAGGCCTACAAATCAACAATTTATTACAATGATTATATAATTTAGGGCTACCAATCACATTTTCTGATTAGCCTAGCGGCTGGCCTTAAACCATTATACAAGAGAGTTTTTTTAATTATAAAGTTTTTGTTCAGAAAGCAGTGAGTTGTAATATATAACTGGCATTGTCTCTGCTATGTATCCATCTACATGTATCACAAAGGATAAGAAAACAGAGCATGCCCCTTTATATTAGGAACATGCTGCAATGTCAGTGTAATACAAATACAATGTAACACTGTCTTCGCCCAAGACACATCTCAAACTGTACATAGTTACAGATATTGATTGAGTCTTGAGAGCACAAAGTGAATCTCTGATATGAAGAAATGTACTCCAGAGACTGGTCTCCTCACTGCCTGCCCTCCCTTCCCTGGAGCCTACCACTAAGAACAGCATAACAAAACATATGGATTGTGGATATAAAATCTCTTATTTTTGGTCTTCATTTGTGTACCATAATAACAAGGGAAAGTATTTGCAACATTGTTCTTATTAATAAAATGAAAATCACTATGGTTTGCGGTGGGGTTTAAAACTCCTTGAAAACCTGGGACGATAAGTATTATAAATTATAGTGTGGGTGATGGAATGAAAAATTATTAACACAGCAAAGCTTACATGTAAATAAATCAACTCACCTCAAACAAGGAAGAATAATAAGARCACCCCATACYAATGACAGATCAGTTTCTTTATCAACAACAAGGCACTCCAATAAACAATCCAAGATCTTCGCACCGGTTTTAGTACCACACTTTGGGAAGTAGATTAAACCATGCTTTGATTTGATATCAACCCCATATTCATTATCCACTGYACCTGACAACACTAYTTCAACCAGCAGTAATATAATATCCTTCTTGTCTTCATTTCTTACACCGTCATAGAGTTTATTTTGGCACATGTTTAAAACTTGAGGAAGAATTTCATGATGGAATGCC